GTCGATACTAAGATTTACATAAATACTCATTAGTAAAACTTAAACGTGAAAACTTCATTACAGTTCATAGAAGTCATGGATCTACAATCACATCGTAATTAAAAAAACTGATTACGCTCTGTCACTGGGCTCGCTGCTTTCGCAGCGGTAAGTCGCCTCTTTGAGGAGTGGTTTGAGAGACGCTACGGCGTCCTTACCTACCGCCTGACGCAGGTCCTTACCGGACATGGGAGCTTCAGGAGGTACCTGTGTCTGATAGGGCGGGAGGAAACGCCCGGGTGTCATCACTGCGAGGACCGCCCTGAGGAGACGGTGGAACACACAGTCGGAGAATGCCCTGCGTGGGCTGAGGACCGCCGTGTCCTGCAAGGGGGACTGGGATGCCGTCTCCTCCTTTTGCGAAGCAGTCATGCTAGCTAAGAAGGAGGCGGAGCGCATGAGGCAGCGAAGCGCTGCCTCCTCACAACCCAGCCGTCGCGAAGGACACTCTGGGTGACGGGGATCGCGAGACGATCTCCGACCACCTTAAGCGCGGGCCTGCGGGGCATGGGTGGCTCACCGCCCAACCAGAACCAGACTCGAGCGTACAGCGCGTCGCGTTCCGCGCGCACCTCAAAGAGCCATCAGACCACCACAGATGGGGCCCAATATGGCTGATGCCGATACGGAGTCGCGGAGAACCTAACGGGTTACCTGGGCTCTGGCTCGAAGTGCAGGAGTAGGAACGGGGCGGTTTTTAGTCAGTAGGAGTCTGGCACTCTCTCCCGCCTGACCTAGGCGGGAGAAGTCTGTCGCCCTTCTGTCGAGTCTATATTCTAAGGACTTCAAGAATGATCCCTGTTTCTCAAGTATTATGATTACTGCTTCTAGATTTCCGCTAATATGTAGTCTTATCACATACTGAACAGTATCCATAAACAATTCTGAATGAATTTAGAAATTACAAACATTGGAGGAATATACACTAATCGATCTTTAACGAATTGGTATAATAACATTTACATTTTTTTGACTCATATAAAAGTACCAATTAAACTAAACAAAACGCGTCAACACTATTTACAATATGCATTTTAAATCCACTGAAAACATAATTTATAGTGTAACAAGCTTATATAAATTAAAATTAAATAATCAAGATACATTCTCATAAATCTTATCGTTTGTAAATGAGACCATTATCATTATCAACGACTTAATAAAAACATTAATTTAAATTAAAATACATTCATAAGAACACTAAATTAAACTATAAAATCCGTATCATTTGTCGATATGCACATAAATCTTCGAACCTAATCTGTAACAGAAGCTTACAAAACGATCTATATTTTAAATCACGTCATTAATGTAGCTATAAAAACTGTTGTTTGCATACATATCACAAAACGGTGTCAAAATTCTTCTGCACACATTTTTAATGAAATATCTTCCTAGAGGTGTAAAACTACACGATTTACTTGTACTTAATAAATATCATGTCATCAAAAGTATGAAAAAATTAAACTTGTCCAACTTGTTTAGTTTTTAATGAAGAAGGATCCTTGTGACAGGCACACTGCCGCTCTGTTACGATAATGAACAAATGTCCACACGAATTCATTAAAATATACAATTATTTTTTTATATTTCAAGCAATAAACGCCTTCTACCAGATAATAAACTTTGACACGGATTTGAATAATTTTTTAATTCATATTTAGATTTTTACAATGGTTTTAATATCGGGACCTTTAAAAATATCGTAAACTCATTTCGATGGTAATTAAAATACTAAAATAATGAACGTTATGTTTTATATTAAAAGCATTCTGTTTTTACGAGGTACCGCTAACCCAAAATCCACGGGCACAATTCGTATGTTAATAAAAATAATGTGATATTTATTCAATCTATTGTTTTTATATATTTACATAATGCTAACATCATAATACAACTCGGAATAGTGGTTTACAATAAATATCAAAAAATGTTTTTCAATTATGATAAAACGAGATAGTTGAACAGAAGCTTTTGGTATCATACAGATATTTTCAGCTCACACAATTGACACCTAAATGTAAATAATCATCACTTACCATTAAAGATGTCAAATGTAACACTTTCACTGGCTACTGTAACAAGTCATGTTACAAAATCGGGTCACGTCATATGCATACAACAAGACTTCCTAACATCTTGACTAATTGATGTCTAATTATAATATACGACAGCTGTCGTGGGTTAATTAATCATTCATGTTGATGACCCAGCGACAGGTTTCTTCTTGTAAACATTTATATAAACTGTCTAAGTTCACATAGATATGTATCTCGAGTTCACGTTAATTTAACGCAGATTAATTAAAAAATACCAATATGTAACTTAATAGCTTATACTTTGAGTCAAATTAACTTAACTGGGATATATTTATTGGCCCGCGGCTTTATTAATAAATTAGTTTCGCTTTAAACTCATTTATTATTTTATTAATTGCCTTTTTAACTTGTTCGCGGTGTAATTTATATTAAACTTACTAAATTTTATTATATTTTGATTGTAATATTTATGGTCTGTATTGGTTTTTTGTATAAAATACATATTTTGTGAATACAAAGTACAAAAACACCGAAATTAACGATGGAAAGTTTTGGATCATTCTAGCAAATTAGATACTAACTATTTTAAAGTTCTCTTTTATATATTGTACAATATTCTACAATAGACTTTTAAATTGAACGAAACTGAACACAAACACTCCTCTGGTGTTGCGTGTTTCAATAAACGGTTCCGATTGCTTACCATCAAGTGATCCATTTCTCGTTTACCGGCCTCTTCCACAAAAAAATGTATACCTACTTTAAAACCCTAGATTGAAAATATCTGAAGAAAATGACACTGGAGTCATTTGAAAAAAGAATATCCCAAAATTTACTAGTAACTATAATATATTCATAATTATAAATCCGTATATTAGTCAGCCTATCTAAAAAGTTTACCAAACGTGTTATTTCACTGAACAAATACGATGGTGTATGTCCTTATGTAAAAAATTATCATATGTCAATATAGTAGTTCCGCCTGACTTGAAATCAGTGTTTGCTCAATTAATTGCAGATGTCTAAGCAATTTTTAAGTTGAAAATGTTAAAAACAATATTCTAAATAAAACACAGGATACTAATGTATTTATTTTAAATGTTAAGGTCATCGTCTTGTTTAGCTATTATTAAAATACTAAGTAAAATTAATTACTGAATTCAATATGGACTATGCAGATTCTTCAGTACATCCCAGACTTGAAATTAGTTCTATTTGTCAAGTTCTAAATTGACTTTTTACTAATGATCTGATCGTCTTGCTTAATTAAATAATAAAGATATTTTGTATGAACTTTACAATAAGAAACATAATCGTTATTGTATCTGTATGCAAATTTTTACAAAACGTTTCTTGAATTAAATTTGTCTCGGCAACGGGTACACTGTGCATAATATAATCTGTAAAAAGTAAAGCTTATTTTTTAAATATTTTGTATTATTTATAATAAAGCTTGTATTTCGATCGACAATTTGTCAGATTATATTATTGTACGTTTATTACTGTTTCACGCAAAATATTCTAAACGATCTAAAAGAACTGAAAACTAGATTATATTCCGGAAAACACAGAGGTTACTTTTTATCCATGTCTATATTTTATGGTTAATTACTTTAACCCTAATTTCAAAAAACCGTCTATTATTTTTCTAATTCATAATCAAAACTGAGTTAATAAAAGTAGAAATGATGTTCCAAAGCAATTTTTCTAAAGTAAAATATTTTTGTAATATAGAAGCGCTGTTTAATATTTATAAGCACTTAATTAATGAGGAAAGACTCCATTTAAATTAATTATTAGACATCATCTATAAATTTACGTTAAGTACATAGTTTCATTTTGTCCACTAATTAATTATAAACCTTAATTAAGGGTAAACAAAGGTGACCTTAAAAACCAAAATATAAGGTTCAAAATCCCATATAAGTCAAAATACTCGTGTAACATGTAAAACAACAGGTGTGGGCTTAAGAAGCAATATTTTATAATTTACTTTAGTGCTATTTTATTTGACAAGTTTAAAATTACGTCACCTATTTAGTAGTTCTTACTACGGGCATGATTTACGCGAATCTTAGTAAGGATGGGTATGGGTATATGTGTTGTATATCCTTGACATCAAGTTCCGTTTTTACAAATGACATAATGTATAAGAAGCTAATACTTAACACTTATTAAACGTAAGTGTATTGATATTAAATGCCAAGGAGCTTCTGTTGTATTCGGAATGTGAAAAATTTTACGGTACTCATTGACGTAATTATTTATCTAATTCAAAGCAACTATATACCTCTATACTACTGCATTTGTCAAGGTAACTAAAAACTGGTGGATCTATTAGTTTAACCGTAAAATATTTTTCCATATAAATGTGTTTTGGTAGTGATCACTCGGTTGTTGACCGAAGGGATTATTATTTAAATTAGTTTCTATGGTTTTCTATATTATTTTTGGAACACTGGCACTTTGCTATTTGTTTATATTGAATATACATACTTACTCATACTCTTGTGTTTCATACCTAACATTTTTTATTAAAACAGTTACGAACATGCTGTTCAATACCATCCTCCTTACTGTCCCCACAAATATTTTTAATAACAGAGATAGGTCTATTTTTAAATACAACTACAATTAAATACCTACTGCAAATTGTTGATGTCCAATTGGTGGCTTGCTCGTCCGCGCGTCGCTTAAGTAGCCAGTAGAATACCAGCGCAAGGCTTTGTCTGGCACGTGCTGAACTGGTCTCATTTCACAGTAGACTTGGGACATGAACATATCTGTAAAATGTACACTTGTTTTTTAGCGTGGAATAAAGGTTTTTTCTTTCTTACTTTTTCAGTACTCACGGTACATGGTGTTACTGTATCAACTATGTCTTAAGTTTAAAACGTTCATAAATTTTATTTTCTGCTTCAGATGCATCACACGCGAAGACTGCGGCTAACAGCAAGCATTATACTATGCTTCGTGCTTCAAGCCCATGGTGCTGATAAGTACACTGACGAGAATAGACCGTATGAATTCGGTTTCAAGATCGATGGACAACAGCATAGGCATGAATCTAAAGGTAAATATTTTTAGCAACAATAAGAAATTATAAATCACGCTACAATTAGGAAATAGACTTAAGAATAGAACCCAAAGGTATTCGGTTTAACATAAATGTAGCTTTATAACAATTTAAAAAAAATTGTTCAAGTTCTGTGCTTTTGGCAACAGGGATGTTCTAGTGCTTTTTTGGTCTCCTGCGAAAAAAGTCGAAAAATAATACAAATTGTGTAAAAGGCAATGTTCATTTACGAATTTACGAAATGTCTTGCATAATTTTAACATTTTTCATCCAAGTTACGTTAAATTTAGACCACTATTAATGGAAAACATGCAATAAAGATTGAATTAATTACACTTAAATTCATATTAAAATTGGTGCTAAACTGCATTTAAAAGAAATAAATGTCAATTTTATCTCCTCAATTAAGAAATTATAAGTACTACTGATATTCTTAATTATTTATTTATACTCGTCGATTTTTATAAAAGATTCAACGGCAATTCGATACTTCTCTGAATGTGTCACGTGCAAATCGCAATATTTTATGTGATGGCTTTTTTTGTTCACACAAAATTCGTTATTCAGTTTCTGATAATGTAATAATCTTGACACATATGTATAACGTATGGTTTAAATATTCATTTCCTAGAAATTAATTCTCGATCGATATCAACACGCTTGAAAAAAGCAGGTATCTCAAAGTTTCTCCAGATCGTTTTAATAGACAATGTTACAAGGTCACATAATCCTCACGTGTTCTTATAAATACTCAATTTTATTAATCATCATATTGTAAATACCTGTTATAAACAAAATGTCAGTATCCTTATAATGGAGAAATGCTAATTTTCTATGCGAACAAAAACACAAAAAAGAACACAAATGTTGGTCATCTTTCAAACATAGACCACTTCTGTATTTTCAGATAAAGATGGGATCATCATGGGGGAATTCGGTTTCGTCACTGCCGACGATGTCTACCACGTCACTGTGTATGCTACAGACAAAGAGGGACGCTTCAAAATATTATCCATGAAAAATATTCATTTAAAATCAAGTAAGTTTATAAAAGTGGAATATGCTGTAAAATAAGGTCGATGAAACAAGATAATATTGATTGTTTGCTTAGTTAATGTAATTATCTTATACAACATACTACCTGCTCATAAATTAAAATTTCATTTATATCCATTCCAGCTGCCGCCTCGGGTTCACTACCGCCTACTTCAGCAAGACAAGGCCATGCTCTACCTTTACCACCAGCATCTGTACAAACATCAGCAGTATCTCCCGTGGTTCAGACACCACAACCCGTAAAAGCATTTAAACCAATATCGTTGGAACCGCCTGGCAGATCTTGCTCATCATGCAGTTTGCCAACGACCACTACGCGTGCCCCACCACCAGCATATAACCAAGTTTCGAATAATAACAACATTAATTCTCCAACCCATTTCGGTGCAATAGGTTCTAGTCCTCAAAATCAGCAGCCATTCCTTTCATCATCAGGACAAAGTAACGCACAAAGTAATCCGTCATATGGTTCTCAGGGCGGTCAACAAAACTACCCATCAGGTCAACCAATCTATCCCCAACAGGGACTCGTCGCCCCAGACGCTGTGTCAACATTTGCTGCCCAACCAGGCCCAGGAGGACAAACCTATCAAGGATCAAGTCAAGGAGTATCAGGAGCTCCCAATACTGCCAATAGATTCCCACAAGCAGGAGGTTCTCTACCTGCGGGTCAGAATACTGAAGGAACAACAGGACAAACATTTTCAGGTGAACAAGGCTCTTTATTTGGTGGTTATAATGGAGCTTCTGGAAATCCTCAGCAAAATGGAGGTTTTTCAAATCCTCAGCAAAATGGTGGTTTTCCAAATCCCCAGCAAAACGCAGCTTCAGCAGGCCCTCAACTTAATGGAGCTACTGGTTCAAATTACCCATCCGCTGGACCAAGTTCTTATGCTCAAGGAGGAGTTACAGGGGCATCTCCTTCTGCCGGTAGAACCTCAAAACAATATAACCCTGAACAACAAGTTAGCTCAGGATCTAATGGTCCACGAGGACCTGGGTCTGTGAATGGACAGCCTGGTTCTGCTAAACCTACGCTATTTTCAGCACAAATGCAAATAGTTGATCAGAACACTGACATTCACGCACTCCGGCCTGGTGAACAAAAAGGATTGCCACCGGGTCTAACTCAGGGTGATATGACACAGCTCTTGTACACATTCAACTACACAGTTGGTTTCCACGCTCACTTTGAGGAGGGCTATACAAATGGAGTCAAAAAGGGATATTATTATGTAACTGGAAGGAACGGTGTCCGAACTAGGATTGACTATGTAGCTGATGATACAGGTTTCCATCCAACAGTTTCACAAGAGGTTCTCGACTTATTGTCCGAGGAAGTTCCTAAACCTGAAACTGAAAAGGACGAGAAGTATGGCCTTAAAGGCTATGAATTCAAATGGTTGTATTATCCTGTTGAATCAAAAAAGCGTTAGTACGTCTCAAATCATTTAAGCTACGTTAGACCTGATCTTCACAAAACCTCTTTTAGTTTCAAGAGGCAATGCCTCATTGGCTTATTTTTAGAGCTTTACCATAATTAACTATTAAGTTTAGGCTAGATTTATTATAAGTCTCTGAAAGTATTACTATTAACTGTAGTTTTAACTTTGTATAACGTAGTACACTGCCATGTAACTGCCATATAGTAGTGATCACCAAAAACCACTATCAGTAGCATGTTAAGTTCATAGAAAAAACATACGTAGACATATCTCATAGCAAATTGTATAATAATGTTTAAATGTAAAAAAAAAACACATAATAATAAATTTATTCGGAAAAGATATACCTACAGTGTGTTTCATTAATAGCGTCTGTGCAAAAAACTTTGAATTAACATTAGTATTTTTCCAATTAAAAAAAAGATGGATTTGTCTAGTAGTAAATAACACAGAGGCACAGGTTTTGTTCCCATGTCAGGTAGGACTAGGTGTATGTTAATATTTCTATCAATAGCCATCAAAAATAATGACAATCAATAAAATCTGCATAACTTTGTTACCAAATGGTAATATATTCGTGTGATTCATCAACAGATGTACAAATCTGATTGATTTTTGTTTTCAAACCAGTAACGTAATGAATCAGAACTATATTTAAAAACTTAGACAACATGGTAGTGGTTCTCTAGTTAGACCGCATTCATATGATAAAAGTATGAACGCATATTACTGGGTTGTTTAAAAAAACCTCAGTAGATTAGCACGGAGTCTAGAATTGTGCCCGTGAATGGCAATAGGCTCACCCCCTATTACACTAGACTCATAGCTCCGAGGATTGAAGCGCTGCGGGCTGAAGCACAGGCTTAAGACCTATTTCAGCAACAGATGCTAAAATTGTTTTCATGATACAAATGTTATGTAAGTTATATGATAGACATCATGTAAAACAAAATTGTGTAAAGTCTTTCTTGATTCAATAAAATTTATTATTTATTTATTATAACATAAATTGTTACATTGTACAGTGGAATTAATTGCTGTAATATGCACGCCTGCCTATCCCTTCTGGGAAAAGATGATGGCGTGATGTTATGTTATGAATGCAGATGATTCATTTAGATCATTATATTTATCTGTTAGCCCCATCGATTAAATAGTTTGCTTCATGCAAACGATGATAAAAAAGAAAGTCCCCATCCTTACTAGTTCTTATCAAATTCTTTAAAGGTCTAGTCTTATTATCGCTCCAGATTTAAATGTTTTTGGACATGAAATAATTCAATAATCATATTTATCAACTAACACTAAGATATTTATCAGTAACTGTAAAACATAAAATTTTAATGATCAAGCTTCCTAAAATATACTTTCCTTTATTTCAATAATTTGATTTAACATATAACAATGTCATTTTCCCCGCTGAAGGTTATGGTGCAAGTTAGTTAATTTGTACTGACCCACTTTTTGCCAGGTCTCGTATAGTAAATATCACTTTACTACAGCTACGAATCCCGTAATCATTATTACTGAGAAATTACGAGAAACAAAAAAAAACTAATAATACTTTGCCTAACTTAGAAATTAAAAAAGTACCCAGGTGTTACACTTGCACAGGCAAGTGTACAGCCTACAAAGTAAATCTTGAAAGATTTACTTTCAGGAGCTCTACCTTTATTAATTCATGATTTTAAGACATTTTTAATTCCGTGAGACTCTCTAACGCCATCTACCTTACACCTGACGCACTGAAAACAGAATGATTCAATACGTAAGTTACAATATGTTGTTACATAGAACTATTGGTCTCTACTTGATTTTTTCGCTAGCGGACGATAGATGTCAGTATTGTGACACGTACCTATTATTATTGTTGTTGGTATTGACCGAATTGATCATCATCAAGAAATGTTTAAGAAGCTGCAAAATTCATAGGTTTCTGTAAAAACATAATGACATCGAAGCTTCATTCCCGAATATAGTAGATTATTGTCTAAAAACTTTAGTTGTTTTTAGTCAATCCAGTGATCGCACGGGAAACCTAATTATGTAATTCAATTTACAAACATATCGTTTGTATATATCCATTAGGTTATGTCTCTACATAACCTACATACCTCTGTATACATAGATAGGATATGTATATACCTCTACATATATTAACCTAATACATATTCTGGTTTCACAAAATGATTTTTTGAGATTTACATAACGGTTTCCACATTGTCATCGAGAACATAGGGAACAGAAAATATTATGAAAAAATTGTTTTCCTGCAAACCTTTTTATTTTGTGACTGCCTGAGGTCAAAAGGTTACTGACCCCCCCCCCTGTTATGATTCTTCAGTCCAATAATGTATTACGTCTCGCTAGTCTCAGTGTTATCGTGTAATATAAAATGACGTCAGGTTTGTCCCTTATTCCTGACCTTGTCCCATATTATACCTCTACATGACAGGTGACAGAATCGTGATGCTATACTTATTACATATACAAGTGTTGCTTTATAGCCGCGTCATTTTTTAGAAGGTAACTCGGCTATCGATTCTGAGTCCGAATCAATAAAAAATATTGTAGGTAAATATTTTTCATTTTTCTGTAAATTGGAAATTCGTAAGTGAGAACTACACGCCGCCGTCTTGTAACCAGTTTTATAACGCGGCTTAACACACACAAACTCAAATACGTAATTGATATTATTCCTAATTCCATAAACCTCCAATAAGAACCTTTGCTGTTGCTTATTCTGAAACACTGTCGAACTTAAACGATTTAGTAAAGCCGTATTTTTAACTATTGCCCGAAACTTTTACTTACATTGAACCTTAATGCTTCTGTGACATGCCCCCGAGAAATGACACGGTTTCAAAACTACACCTTGTATACTTAAGTAATACTACTCTAATCCTTTCGAAGAATAAAATATGAAGTTACTTTCAGTTCTTGGTCTATTTCAGTTATACTAATATATATACTAATTAGGAATGAATTACTTAGGTACATGACGTAAGTTTACTTTTTAGTATCTTTTCATGTACAAAGTGTATTCTAACTTTTGGTTATCCTGTATTGACTCATTTGTTTTTAAATAGTTAAATCTAAACTTAAAGTTCGTTTTCCTATGAGTCATAATTGCTTATGACAAAACAAAGTCCGTCAAATGGATTAACCAATATACAGTCTTCCTTCTATTTAAAAAAAATGTTCGTGATCATTTTGACCGGTACCGTGATCGTATGGTTTTAAAACATATTTTTTATTTGCTATATTTTTGTTTAAGGAAACTAAGTAGTCACATTATACTAGATAGGATATTGGGGTTTTTTAAACGTGTAACGTAAGCGCACGTAACATACGATGGACAGAAGATCCGTATTTTTATATATTATAAACTAATGTTAAGTATGTACATCGTGTTATGTAAATAGGTACATAATCCTCCATGTCGTTAGTGTTACAATTTAGATCTATATATTATTATTTATTATCCAAAAATAAAGAAACATATCAATATAGGTCTATCCTACTTTGTATTACAGACATAATTAGGCATTCAAATTAATTCAATGTTTAAGGAACGATTAGGTAACAAACATCCGGAACTAAATCAAAGGCTTTCACATTTTTTACAACCGAATAATATGGGATTAAGTTATTAAGAAATAAAAACTCATAACTCACAGTTTTTACGTCTCTCATTTCCTTAATCACTTTACATAGTCTCGTATAATACTAGCTTATACCCACGATTTCGTCCGCGTGAATTTAGCATATGCCCTTTGCGTTCTATCTACTAACTGTTATCATTAGCTTATTTCTATACACTGCAGGATATAGGCCTCTATAATGACACGCCACTAAGGTCGATCTTCAGCTCTGCGCATCCAATAAGTCTTTATTATAGGAATACAATATTTCCAGAAGGTTAGTAGTGTAGATTAATCTCAAGAAGGTAAAAACAAACGAACGTTTGTGTCTAATTGATTATATTAATCGAAATATATTAAAGTTACAATAATTTTATTAGTAGACATATCCTGCAAAAAGTGGTCCACTGTTAAATAAAAAAATCTTAACGTCCTATTTCCTTTAATTATAATAATTGTGGTTATATTAACAAGCGTGGGATTTGTTATAACTTATATCTATAAGCAGGGCAAGTACGTTGATGACGTAATATTTACATTTTAAAGTCAAAAAGGTTATTGAGTACTTGACCAGATAAAAATGGACAAGTTAATAAACACTATTTGTATTTGGGGAATTTCAATACAGAAAAAAGTTATATAAATAAGGTCTTAATTAATGTCAAAACATATTGCATGTAATCAATAAGTAGGTATCGTCTATATTCGAGTATTTAATGCAGTTTAATGAGACATTGAGATCTTGATTCATATTAAAGAGGAAAAAATATAATTGTTCGTCTATTTCCATTAAGTAACCTCTGGATTGAAAAAAGCATATGTACGGTCAAATTGAGAACCTCCTTCTTTTTTTGAAGTTGGTTAAAAATGCGGTAACACCGAACACTTTATTTTCAGCACTTAGTTTTAATCTATTTTAGTTATTTTTTAATTTTATTTTATTTATTTGAGAAAACCTATATCATCCCTGTGAGTCCCAGACGTCTTTTAAATTCGGAAATCTTATTAATTTCATGCAGGTGAAACTGCAGGCGGAATATTAATCTTGGTTTGCCGTATACATTAACACTAACATTACCACACGAATGATCATCAACAATACAAAAGAAAACATCGATCTTAATTAATTCGATTAGAACATAATAAGTAATAACTTAAGTTGCAACTGCTGTATAAACAACTATAAACTGTTATAATAATATAACAATGCAGCTGTTTCCTACAACAATTGGACAATAAATGACCCGCTTATGCCCCAGCGGGGATCGTGATCAAGCAACGATTCAATGGTCCCTGTTATAACTTCAGTAATAAGAGCATTGCATAAGATTCGCATTCATGAATGAATCTTTGCAGCTACTTGCAACCACTATCTCTGCGTGCTTTTGGCGGGAAGCCTTTACCAGTCGTACCAAAGCCGGCGCGTGCGCAACACGCGTTCGTTATTCAAATTTTCAAGCTCAATGCGATCGCGAACGCGACGTTTCGTCTCCTAGTCTTTTTGTTTAATTTTTTAAATGGAAGTATTGAGGACACACCTCATTTCCTATTGTAGCGATTCTATTTAAAATGGTGTGAATATGCTTTGTTAAACCATAAAAGAAGTGTTAGTTCTACTTTCTTAAACTTTAAACAAAACATATCCTAATTGGGTATTTGATGTTGGACATAATTAAGTGAAAGACGTTCATTAGTAGAAGTAAGTAGTTAACTTACGTTTCATAAATAACATGTTTATAAGATGCAGTATCTAACGTCCGATTAACCCAGCTTAAATAACAATAGGAGATAAGAATTGCATGCCCCATGACCTTAAATAACAGGTCTAATAGAGTCAAAAAATTTATTATCAGAAACAAAATATCAGTTGACTCGTGACGATATTGACCGGTGCTAATTTATTTCACCTTTGCCATCTTTACACTTTAAATATAATATAATATCTGACATGTTCAAGGCATTGTGCGCACCACTCCTTCATAATCAATTAAATATGCTACTGATCTATTGTAATTATTTTGTCATCGTTTAAAAATATATTATGATAAACAATGATATTTAAATGTAAATATTTTATCTTTGAATAATGTTACCAACAAAATCTATAAAATATGCGCCAAGCATACTTACATTTTAATTCACTTCCTAAAACAGGGTATATAACATAACTGTTTAATATTGGGTTTACGTTTTATATTAGGCCCATCCTGTATTTATGAGAAAATGGGACTCATAACGTAAATGGTAAAAAAGAAGGTCGCCAATGCAACATATGACACAAATAAAATGATTTACATAATATAAATACAATTATTTATGTACCTACTCTTTCGGGGACTTAAACACTTTAGGATGAATTTCATAATAACATGCATCTTTGTCTGTATCTTTCGTTAGTGGTCGATGCCATGATCTTAATTACTATTAATCAATTATTATTAATCATTATCACTTTCTACTGAATAAAAACGAACTACAATCGCCAATTAATTTCTTCATCGCTAACTTACTATGGCAATTTCCGCCAAGCATTTACAAGAGATTATCTATAATCATAATCAAAACCGAATGCACTTATTAGTCAATATTACCTATACTAATATTTTTATTAATTAATTGGTTTTGACAGACCATTTAGCACTTGTAATATGACCTTTTTGAAGTCCAAATGTATCAGCTTACAACTATACCTAAAATACGAAAATAAGGTGTCATAACAGTTACCTGTATAAGAACATTAGGTAAATATACTTAAAAGGTCGTACGGTAAGGTACGTTGGTCATACATTTTTATTACCAACAAAGTTTCTCAAATTTCCAAGTACAACACGTTTTAAAATGTATGACCGACGCATGACAATTGGTACGATCCTAGTATCATACTAGCAATTAGGTAAAAGCCTAATGTTTAGACAACATACAAATCATTTCCTACGTAGGTACCTACATATAAAACCACGCGGAATTAGGCGTTACTGATAACGATTAACATAAAGGAAAATCTTTGCTGATTACGTCAAATGTAATGATACAACAATTTTTGGCGTAGGCGCATATCTGCCAATTACACGTAACACGCAAGGTTACATTTATAAATTACATTATGCCGACGCTATTTACAAAAGGAGCGTTGTATAGGTAATTCAACAAGGGTACTCGACACCTAAAAATGCCTACGTTCAAGTACCGCATCATCAATCATTATTTCATTAACCACAAAAAATATGTTTCAAACAAAAGTCATGTCATTCAGCTGATCAGTTGAAACATAAATAACATCTTTGTCTGATTAGATTAAACAATAAATAATAATATGAAAAAATGTGTATTATATTTTTGCCACAATACGTCACTCGGGTCAATGCCGAATCGCAAACGTATAAAAAAACTGTGTAAATCAACAAATACCAGAAAAGCAATAACTTTAGTTGCTTGTTACAATAGAGAATTAATTACAGAAAATGAGGAACGATTTGTTTGGCTATATTGAAAACTACACAAGTTATCGGTAAGAAATCTCTTTGATGTATGAATTTTCCGGAAAAGATTCTCCCTGTACTAGTTAAACAAGAATATTGCATCAACTGTGTACAAAACATCGAACCGCATAACAAAAGTATTAGTAGTGAGAAGCATGAAAATTGTGTAATTAGCCAAGTTTGGTGGTCCGATGACCTTCATTCGCATTAGAAAGAATGTTATGCCGCATATTTTTTAAACTGACAACGATAAAATAGGAAGTCCAGTTTTAGTATACAAATTGCGGTTTATTATATATTTTTGTTTGTATATTATTTACTCTATAGAATAAAAAACAAAAGTAACTATAAGATTTGTGATCGCGAAATGTGACTCTATCGATAACTTGTATTTTCTTAATTTTCCGCTGCGCTTTCAATATCATAGAGTGGCGACCGTATCCGTATCCGTGACCCATCCGTGGTGGTCTGATTCAATAATAGTAAAGGTAAGGATAAATATTGGTCAAATAGTGTTTCTACACAGTAGAATTATACTCCGTACATAACAAAGGACTCATCTACATTACAATCAACATAACTGACTAAAAATGTGAGTAATAAATATACCTCTATCTTCTACTTTCAAGAAAACACGACGTGATACTACGCTGTGGGTATAGACAACACCTTTGAAAAGGGAATGACGTCAGGTCTAAGTAAGGCAAATCTAGTTTAAAATTAACATATATCGGATTTTCGCAGTTGGAAAGCCAAGTGAGATAGCCAAAGACAGAAACGAGGTAGTGTAACGGACTCAGGTAACTTATTGTGACATTTATGCAAACCTTGAACTTTCTAAGTAGGAAAATCTTTTGTTACAAGTACAATAATATGGGTGCTCCGCGAAATTTCACTTTTCTAAAGTGTTAGGAATGAATACCGGAAAGTCAAAAAGTTATTGTTTAGCTTTAAAAAGGAAGAAAACTACCCAAACACCCCAAAATTTATTGAAAGCAGAAATATTTCTGTCCAACTTATTGAATCGCACCGTTTTAAAGTAATCCAAAACCCTACAAAACCGGATTTGACATACTTTTCCGATTACAAATCTGCATAATCTTGACAAGTCACGCATCATTCCCATTCTGCTTAATGAAATGCAATGAATATTCAAACTTACAGTATTATAAGCAGCTAATAATTATGTTATAACAATCTACAAAGTACTTGGATATCTGTGCAAGATATAAGTAGGAAGCAATTTCTTTAGCTCTATGCAAGAGGCAGGTAATACTTCTTGTACGCGTTATTAAGATCTCAAAATGGCTTGTATGCACGATATGGTTGAAGTGATGTAGTGTTGAGACTGCGTAAAGTAAAATTTTTTCATGCATTATTTTATAAGGTTAATCGTGCAGCTAAGTCTATCGAACAATTGTTTGTGCCTCATCGTTTTTACGAAGTTACGAGTTTTACATTTTACGAAAATTTAAAATTAAGTAAACAACAATTTTTAATTTGCTTTTTATTCGTAATGGGTGGACAAAATGTATCAAGACACTCCTGTTCACCTTTTGTAGGTATTTGTATTGTTTTACTAACGATTTTGATAATGAGTAAATTGAACACGATTTTGAACTCTGTGTCATAATTATCTGAAAACTCGAGAATTTATTTTAAGTGAATTCGTATCTATTGTCTCAATACAGATTAAACTTATTTAAATTAGCCTACTGTGCTTTAACCAATTACCATTTTAGTCTGAACTTACTACACATTACTTTTGCAAGGTTCATTACAATTTTGTTTTCTCACTCAATCAAATAGATCACGGAGCTATAGAGTGTAATTAGGCCATATCTCAAACAACGGACTAACATGTAATGCGCATTATAATTAATATATTTGGCCTTGATTAATATAGATTAGTGCGATAGTTGATCAATAAATCAATTTATTAACCAGTTACACCATGACATTTTTGACTGGTAAATAATTATATCTGTCCAACACTTACATTCTCACTTTATACCTTCAATTTCCAAAAGCTGTAGAAAGATATTTTAATAATATTATTACTTTGTCTATAAATTACTTTGTACTACTTGGCGCATTTAGGTATCAATCTAGGTACGGGTCTTGGGTTAATTTCACATACCTAAAAGATACAGATTTATTTAAATGTTTTTACAATAGTATAGACTTATCCGTGTCGGGCTCGATAACTTTGTAAAGCAATATCTTTCATCAGTTAATAAATATCTTCAATGCATTTTGAGCCTTATGAACCATAAACATAATGTATGCAATTGCGCCACTACGTGTGAACATCCGCGGTCTTGCTTACATCACACATATATCCGATACCGACTTATAGGAAGTGCAGTTTTTCTAATTTTATCGCTAAATTACCCCTCATTAATAATGATAATGAGGAATTCGTTTTTATTTTCATATATTATCATTCGGTTTAACATTTTTTATTACTAAAAATCATATAAAAGTATCATTTTATTATAAAAATATGAATCGATAATAATAACGTAATTTTATGTTATGATATCATAACATAAAATTCCGTTAAATCAGTTCACTCCGCCTAATAAGTAAATGAAATTCTGGTTTTAAAGATTGTCCTTATATGTATTGTATAAATGGTTTGTTTACAAAACAATAGGTATATTCTCAAGTTCATTTTAAAGGCTCTTCGTGGCATATTGGCCTGTTTTATTAGATTCATGAATAAATTAGAACTTCACCTCATAAAACGTGCTACATCGAACAGGTTCACATACATAATAATTAAAAATCTTTGACACAATCTTAATTCACTGTTTTTATTTAATAAACTAGTTTTAGTTAATTAATTTTAGTATTGTCACTGTAAAAGTTTGATAACGGACTTTTTAGCTTTTACTTACGTGGAATAAGTAGCTATATTGCTCTGCCGTTTTATATAAAAGTACTAGCTTCTGCCCGCGACTTCGTACGCGTAATCCCATTTTTCCCGTCCCCGTTCTTGATTTTCGGTAAAAAGTAAAAGAAAAAGTATTGGTCAAAAAGTATCCTATGTCGGTCTCCTGGCTCTAAGCTAATCTATTCTGCCGTTCTTGAGTTATAAGTGGTGTAACTAACACGACTTTCTTTTATATATATAGATTATGATCTATATTCTTACATATCTACATAAAGTCGCTTTGATGTGTTGTGAAAGACAAACAATAATAGTTTCACAAAACCTTAAGAAAGAATAGTTTAAAATAAACTAAGAATCAAACACACACTATGCAGATACAAAGTAGCTATTACCTATTATCTAAAACAAAAAGCATACAGTAGTAGACTAGTAGACTGCCTCATTGGCCGAGTGGTCGCAAGTGCGACTGCCGGGCAAGGGGTCTCAGGTTCGATTCCCGGGTCGGGCAAAGTATAACTGGGTTTTTTTTAATCTCAGTAGTAGCACGGAGTCTGGAAATGTGCCCTGTATATGGCAATAGGCTCACCCCCTATTACATCGGTCTCGTAACATAAATAGTGAAAAGTAGGTGTTACATTGTGTGTGTATAGTGGCATTAAGTGCCGTAATGTGCACCTCTGGCTACCCCTTCGGGGATAAAAGGTGTGATGTTATGATGTTATGTGAAAAGTATACAGTACCGCAAGAAAAATAGGGAGAAAATTATTTTACTCATTTCACATATAAACTGTAACATGCGAGAGCGAACTGCAGACTATGAGTCATCGCCGAAAGTCTCAAATGCTAAATTCTTTATAATGCTCGTCACCGCTAGAATAAAACCTTTTTTAATTTTATTTCTTGCATTATTTATGTGGACATTATTATTTTTGTTTTAACTTTTTTTTATATTTGACCCACAAAAGTCAGACGGATAATAATTTGCAAACAAGTCTTCACATCACTTCGTATTTGTGTAGTTTTAGAAATTCTTCTACATGGTGATGAATTTTTAAATGAGATCATTGATTATGGAAACGCTTTGTTGCTAAAATTCTTTTGAAGTAAAAAAAAATAAGCGACGTACCTATTAAACAATCGATTGAACTAAAAATTAACAGCGCATTTGCAATTTTTACAGAAAATTGATATTTTCACGAAAAATCCGTAAAAACCTTTAATTCAACTTTCCTAATATTTACAGTTGCTAAGTTTACACATTGGAATACTAATTTAACTGTTTATTTTTTTACTCTTTTAAAAGTAATTTATTTTAAATATATAGAACTACATAAATATTTACAACTTAAAATTAACTACAACTAAACTATTAAATAAAACGACTGTAAAAAAAGAAAACAACAAAAATTATAAATTATACCCTTAATTTAGGCATCAAGTACTTTCCTAAATTAATACCTTATGATGATTATTGAATTATATAAGTAAATAATACCTACTTAGGAACCTATGAACCGTTATATCCTCTACATAACACAAAAAAATTCTTCTCCAACTAATAAAAAAGAAGAATTACCCCAGTAATAAAGTGTTAATGCAATAAAATAAAACAAATAGAGCGGCATTACGAGGTAACCGCGGCTGCACGCTTACCTTACAGTATCATTTTACTTCCCAACATTTCCTGTTTATCGTAATACAATCAAGTAATTATAATAATCGCCACTTCACTATTATTTAACCGAATTATTCTCACCCATTAATTAAACAAAGAGTTTACAAATCATTAATTTGTTTAATTAAATGATCCGATATAAATAGCTCTTATTCTTAATTGTTATGAAACTGTCTCATGTTTCCATTAATTCAGATGTATTGTATTTATGATTATGAGATAATTATGGAGACTCATTGTAATTAAAATGTGTATTAATCTATTATATAATTGGTTGGTACCTTCAAGTAGGAAGCCGTCGGAAAGTGCTGGTACATTAACTGCATTGTTTCTTAGTTGCTTAGTCTAGTGTCTGTATTAAATTAGTGTTGTGTTTAAAGGCATCCAGATTATGTAGGAATTTACTTAGGTACGTACGTCATCGAAGGTCGTTGAATATGTATGTTGAGCAAAGAAATAAACTATTGGTCAAATAGCGCAACTTTTAAACATTGACAGACTTTCACGTTTATAGCATTTAATTATTGGAAACAGAATCGAATTAAATAAATTCACATAAACGTCAATTCTAGACATGATCATGAACACTAATTTAATGCAAACGATCATCTAACAAATTTAAATATTTACAAACTACATCTCAAAAAAAACGATACAGGTGTTATAAAACGAAACAGTTTCTACGCCATATTAGCGGAACTGCAGCTAACTTTAGTTCCGACGTCGATCATGACCAATCACACAAAACACACGAAATGGCCACTTGATATGCGCAGGAGGCGAGCATTTTCACTATCGTTCAATGTCCCATTGTACTGACACTTTCTATAGTAAACAACGCCATAACAGAAGGAATTTATAAATAATTATGTATTAACATTGTCGGTTATGCAAAATTGTGACTTAATCAGTACCATATAGAATAGAATCATCAGGAATTAAAAAAAAATAGTACAAATAGAATTAGTCAGTACCAGTCTATAATTTAAGACAGACACATGTCATGTCTATTTCTTTGGAAGTTCTACGTGTTATGTGGGTGAGGAATAATTGGAACATGACAAACAAAACAACTTGTTTAGTCATGTTAGGAGCAAGTGTCTATGTAATGTAACCAAAAAAATGGTATTTGATTTTTGTTAACAAACAATTACGTACTTTTATTGGTCATTATCAGTTAATTATATATTAATTTGTGTTGTTTAGTTACTAGTTGATTCAATACTTTCAATAACTATTGTTACGATTTATGTTACGAGAACTATAGTAGTAAATAAAAAGTTATATAATATAAATATAAATAAAAAGTTCTGATATATTACGTTACTTCCAAAGGAAAAACAATAATATATGGCATAGTTTGATGCCATATTATTATGTACCCTGAAAGCTCATTATTGCTAGATTTGTAAACTTTGGGTGTGTTAGAAAAAACAAAATCCAAAAACTACCCAAAAACCAGGAAACGTAAACATCAAAACTCCAAGCGAATCAGTAGACCGGCACAACGCGACGCGACGCGTGAGAAAATACCTGAACAAACAAACGAACAATCTCAGTGGCGTAATTAATTGCCGAGGCATTAGAGCGAGTGCCGACAATTGCCGCGAGTGCCGTCTCAATGTCATCTGTACCATCAACCCACGTACAGCCTTGCTATAACTGGAGCACGTGATACGCAATTTGACCAAGAAGTTTGTCGCTGCTTGCCGGCACTGAAGATGGATGACTTTACTGTGTAGCACATGTTTGACTAGGACCTCGACCTTTATGTATTGTTTTAGAGTGCTGGGCTGGGCTGTTTTCTGCGGTTTTATCGGCCATTATCACACCACGACTTCCTAATTCTTAAGCACCCTTAACTGCGTTGTATAAGAAATGTTGAATCAGTCTGATAGGGTTTTTGGTTGGCAATATAATACGAAAACCAACAATATTTAAATAGGTAGGTTAATAACTATTTTTAGACAATTGATATAAATAAATTAACCTCTTATCACACAATGTGAGACACATTAGAAAACACATTATGTCACGCGTATACCTATCTACGTTCCGTATATACATATACATACGTTATAGTTATATAGTTATAGAGTTAAACCTTAATTTACTAGTCAATAACTTACTCATAAGTAATAACTAATTTTGTTATTTGTTACAGGAACCGCTAAAACTGTGATGAAAAATGATTCGACAAGAATTTATACTGCTGGTAAGTTAACCTTTATACTGAAAATACTCAAACTAATTATTTTACAAAAAAAATAAGAATTCAATCTATGTCACTGGTATTTAGGAAACATTTATTAAACTTACGATATTTTATCTATAAAGTTACGAAACGTAATTTACCGCGCGAAGTTTTATTGCCTAGTACACATTATCTGTTAGTTGCACTAACTTGTGATTTCATCTGTCAAGTGTTCTTTCGACACTATTTCGTTGTGGAGTCGGTTTTAAAGCAGGTGACTTTAATATTGTACTGAAACGTCACTTTAATGTAGTCTTATATGACATAAGTGACTCATAAAAAAGGCCAGAAAATGAATAAAAATTAGCAGCGAATGTTTTAAATTCTATTATTTGATCTCTCTTTTTCTAGGCCTACCTTCATTGGAATGTCCTACGCTGATACCTATAATAACATAAATAAGATCTCAATATAATTATATTATAAGTATTATTGGTAAAAAATATATAAATTCAGCTCTTGTTTATTTTGAATCTTGTAGCCGTTAACTGCATATAATTCGATTTAAAATTCTTACTCTTGACCATATTCTTAGATACATACTATGTCACAGCAACATATAAGGTACGTAGAATATTGAATAACATTCCGAATACAAAGTGAACAATAGAATTAACAATCTTACTGTCTTCGATTCTTAATTAGGATCGAAGTACATACGGTATTGTTGGAACAATAAATCTTATTGTTTGTACCCACGTCACTTATTCGTCATGCTGAAATAACCCTTAAATATTCTAGTAATATTTTCAATAACTTTGGTGATGAAAATTGAACTCTGTCTCTATTACTATAAATCTGATTTTGAATTATATGCATATCTAGCGAAATGGTGTCAGAAACAGTTCTCTTGTAGGAAATCTCAGTACAACTTCGTTGGAAGTCAGGACATGTCCTCGGTGTAGTTAGATGCGATATAAGATAGAATTGGAATGCTAATGCCCGGTAGAAGTAAATAAACTAAATGATAGTTTTGCAAGACCTGTCGATAGGTTTAATTTAATAAGTTAGAGTGCTCAGCGAATTGATTTACTTTAGTAGTAAAACAGTTGCTTTCATTACAAAATAGCTTCTGCCAGCTGCCCGCGTTCCCAGGGGTAAAAAATGGCTAGAACTGAATTGAGCCTACTCAATACTCCATATTCTACTCTGCTGGACTGCCTCGTTAACCGAGTGGTCGCAAGTGCGACTGCCGAATAAGGAGTCTCGGGTTCGATTCTCGGGTCGGGCCAAGTACTACTGGGTTTCAAAAAAAATCTCAGTAGTAGCACGGAGTCTGGAATCGTGTCCGGTATATGGCAATAGGCTCACCGCATATTACATGGGACTCATAACATAAATAGCGTAAAGTGGGTGTTACATTGCACACTGACATTAAGTGTGCACCTCTGCCTATCCATTCGGGGATAAAAGGCGTGATGTTATATGTTCTACTCTTATTAGGTAATTAATGAACTTGAAATATATGTAGAAGTACTACAACAGTAAGCACCAATGTCGTTTGCATTTGTTATTGTTGTTTCTGTATCTGTCGCGTTCTGTATTTAAAGAAAATGCGGACGATAAAATAAAAAAAAGTTAGAAGAGATATCAATTCTAATATCAACAATACAATCGTCATTTCTCAAGCTAGCCCTTTACTATATTACCTACTTAATTGAGATTGAGACACACACAGTACGGAACGCTTCTAGCAACTTTACTTTCTTGTCACACACGGTAAGAGTGAAAGTGACGGTGTTCCAATGATCACTATATCTACTACCAATTGCCAACATACAGGACCCAGTTCCACGTAATGGAACTTGATTTCGTTATTATTATTATTATGCAACTGTTACACAATTGGTATTTCCTGTACTAAATGTTAATACGTTTAATACATATAAGGATGGGTCGATGTAATTACTTTTGCATGAAGATAACATTGTGCTATCATTTAGATTTCATCGTTGATTGAAATGCGATTTAATTACTTACTCATATGAGTTGGATCTACTGAAATATTTGTGTACTAAGTTAAGTAAGCGTAACCTACTCATTGGATTTTTTAACGTAATGGTTAAGTAACACTTTGTTCATGCTTTTGACCTGCAAATCTAGTCACACAGACCCAAAATTCACGCCAACGCTTTTTCGCATTAGACAATCATCGAATATTTCTGAGAAATATACCTACATCAGCCTTACCTATTGCCATATATGGATTACAGCGTAAATTTTTTGAATAGATGTAATAAAACTTAGCAAAAATTAATTGGCGCTTATAAAACGTGAGCGTCTGCCAAAGAAATTAGATCTGGATTACGTATTCAACGAACAGCAGGTAGGAACGTATGTACCTATACTTTTTAGGAACGGCTGAACTCTATGTTATCATGCGCAGGCAATATTGATTATTTTTCCTGTGTTGCTCCGTTGAGGTTCCAAACACAAATTTCACATACGCATTAGTCATCACACAGGTCATACAAATATTACTTCCGCAGCGGGAATCTCACACATGTCAGCCACTTAACCAAATGCAGTCAGAGGCAGGATTACCAAGTCACATTGTACACTTTTTCGTTACTCATTTTCAAATTGCAAGCGTTTCTTTTTCCGAGAACACCGTCCTAGCCTTCACTCGAACACAAAAGGAGATGTAACAAACAGGCAGCAGACAACATACAATATAATACATACACGATTCAGTACCCACGTCTAATTAACAACACCAAACGGCACATCAGGCTATACAAACCAGTATAAGTTGACCGTTGAATGTGCAGAAAGATCATACAAAACAAGACTATGATAAACTGATTTGTGTTACTCCATGTGTAGTTTAAGTACGTAAACTACGTAGGCATGTATACTCCCTAACAATAGCACAAAAGAACTTTTCGCACAAAGTTGCTCCCGACGCGCATTCGGAAGTCAGTGTTCTAAGTTGCCGACACATTGCGCATTCTTTTAAGATTGTTTACACTCATGGCGGTTACGCACTGATATTGTTGTTAGATAAACCTGAATACCTATGTTCGTGTAGATGCCGGATGATAAGTATGAGCAAAAACCCATACGTAAGTTTCACTACATCCATTTGTCAGCTATCCAGTTTTTCCAGTTAAGAAAAAGTCAGGAACATATATGGTTAATAGTGACAAGTTTCTTCCGTTATTTTAGTAGTTAAGTTTCGTTTTGGTTTTTTTCAATTTCCTTCTCACTGAATCATTTAGTGCTTTTGAAGTTTAGTGAATGAAGAAATGAATCACAGGGAAGTCGAATTTGCCAGTAAAATGTGTCATGGTAAAGTTACCGTGACACATTAGCAAAACCATATAAGGACCCAAAATAAGCCCACATGTAAATGTTCAAGGATTTATAATACACAGAACCAGATCAAATTTTTATTGTCCTTAAACTTTTTTCTCTACCTTAAACTTTTTGCATAAGCAGAACTACATTATTGGTTAGTTTTCATGTAGTATACATAATATGTATATTGCTAATTTTACTCCACACACAATTAAACATCTAGCACTGTATCCAAATTCAATTCATTTGTCTTAACTTGAAACATAAATAAAATGTGTTGATTGACTGTCAAAATAAAACGGTAAATCTTTTAACTACTTTTTGTATAAATAGGCGTGAGCCACCACAGTCACTAAGTACATAATTAATGTTTCAAATTGACCGTCCGACGCGATCTAATGACCTCTAAACTCTTTTAGTGGGTAATTAGTCTTCACTTCTTAGAATCTTACGTTTTTTGTTGAACCATCGCCAAACAGTTTAACATCTGGACTTTAAAATCAACAACTTTGTAAAACACGTCCTTAATGATTGCAATTGATGAGACTAAACTTAATGTAAATAGTTTTTTAAAATTACTTTGAAATAGTAATGACGTGATTTGTTTTCGATTCTTTAAAGTTAGTTTTACATGTTTGTGACCCAGTCCAGGTCAAACCAACCCACAGAAACAGCATTCCTTATAAAGGTGGAGAGTTTTTACAAAAACATTTAAATCAGTGAGTCAACCATTACGTCAGAATGCAGGCAAGGGCTTTTCTTATCAAATTTTTTCTTTGTCTAATGTGATTTTGATTAGGTTTCGTCTGTAGTTTTCTTATGAAAAAGAATTTTAATACAGTCCATGAAAAAGCTTCCTCCAGAATTAATATTTTCTTAGTAAAAAATCAGTTATATATATAATTTCATATTGAAACTGTTAATGTTGTTCTTTTCTTAAAAGCCCGATACAGTTGAGATATCGCAACACACCAAAAGACGAAGTAAATAATGTCCCCAAAACTTTACTACCTTTACAATTCCGTCTCTTTTCCCATAAGTGACATTAAAATAGTGTTAAGTCCAAATTAAATAGTGATGTGACACACTTTTACGATTACGCGAACTTTGTATTATAAGATTACCTATTGCATAATTAAAAGACCTTTGTTACCATAAGAAGAAGCCATGCGTTAGATAACTTTGCGGTGGGTGGCGAATCTGCAAAAACTTACAAAAAAGAAAACATTGATGCGACGACGCAACTCTATGTTAGTGAGAAAACTAGCATCGCACTACTCGTACTACATTAGAACAAACGCGTACCGCAGAACATTCATGCAAGGTGTGAAGCGTACTTTGACATTCCATGGTAATTTAACTTTAATAGCATTTATTCCGCAGCTTTAAGAGTGGTTTTCATATTCACTTCAGTCATGGTTGTTGATACTTAACCGTATAAAATTAATTTGCCATCGAATAATCGAAATGTGATATGATAAGAATTGATAACGTCAGACGTCCAACAATAATTTACGTAAGAGAGTGATATTGTAAGTTTCCGTAAGTTAAAAGCAAAGTAAGGTAACATTATGGTATAAGATTGGTTATTACACAAATATACAGGTTGGTCAAGCCAGGTACTTGAGGCTCCAAGAACAAAGAGCGAATGTGGAGCAAGT